GCCACACCATTTTGGTATTCATATCTACAGGCAAAAATATGTTTTTCAATTTAAGAAATTTATTTGTTTAGTGGCAAGGGGAAACACGACTAATCTTAAATTAGAGATGTGGCAATGTTATCAGGCAATTGGATTCGATATAAATAAAATCTCAGATACACTTTAAAATTGTTATCAGCCGCTTCAAATAGCGTCGGATTTTCATATTAAAATCCGTAGATGTCTTAATAATTACAAGTTTTGGAGACTTGATGCATAAGACTTTGGGTCACTCAAGACCGCTTAAGGTGATCCAAAGATTCAATAATGAATTTCGGAGGGCCTAAATATTCCATTGAAGTTCACTTAACCTTTCAGCCCCAAAGTTTTCCTATCTAAGGTAGACTGTATTCTCCTCACCCCACCTGAGCCTCATCAAAACAGACAACAAGTTAGGTCGAAACTATAGTCCGCCAATGATAAGAAAACCTTTAAGATAAGGCAAGGAAAAAATTCGGTGACATCTTAAGGTAAACTCATTGCAATAATCACGATAAGAAACCTAGTGGTCAAAATCTTTATTAAATTACCGATAGTCTATAATAATACGTATTCTGAAAATTAATGCTAGCAATATTGCCTGCATCAAAGCATCACGACTGGCGTAAAATCACTGAGCAAACTTTTTATATGGTTTATAAGGTTAATGGGTAATTTTGTTACATACCGATTTGGGTGAGTCGAAGAGATCAGAGCAATTATCCCACTCGCAGGCATAACGAACTGGTGTTTCAAAAGTCCTGCGGAATTGTCTATCAGCTACCACCAATGCATCAGACTGACAGGCGCCTAGTGGTTCCTCACTTGGCTGATCATCAGAGCTTAGCTCGTCCAAGTATGCCATATATTCGTCTAATTCCGACTCATCATAGTGCTCATCCTCTCTCTCTTGCACAAGATCGGGTTCACCAGTGATCTCTCTAATCGGCGACAGTCCTGATGTCCGACGCTCACCACAGTCAACCCGTTTTCCTGAGTTATTGGGCTCAGCAGGAACCCAAGATGAGGCGAGGACAGAGTGAGCAGACACAATTTGAGTTGAATTGTTGTCATTGCTTGCTGATTTGTCTTGGATAGAACAGTTATAGTCATCAAGCTGAGAAGAGCTCGACAGAGGTTGCTGCAGTAAAGGTTGCTTGCGTCGCTTGGCTTTAGTGCCCAACGGACCCCAGTTATGTCGGCGTCTACGGATCATACGTCTAGATGCACTACTCGGAGAATGAGCCCTTTTAACCTGAAGCCCATTTAGTGGAGGTCGGCCACGCGGTTTTACCACGACGCCTATACTTTCTTCACTGTCTACCTTATCTCGTTCCTCAGTCTCGGCCTCCTCTTCATCGTCTTCTTCATCTTCATCCTCTTCCTCTTGATCTGAAAATTCTTCAAGGTTTTTGACAGTCGAAGTCTGCTGAGTAGGACGATCAGGGCAACTATGCGAATTATGCTTTTCCGCAATCTCAATTAAATTCTCTGTGCTACCAAAATCCTTTGAAGCAGAGCCGCAAGTATAAGAATCATGCTTTTGTTCTTTCTGGCCAACAGAACAATCGTTGAGCACCGCCAACAAGGTCCCACCATTAATAGGGGTGCATAACTTCCCGTCAGATTCACAGGCATCTGCATCGTAATCGCATCCATCACCGCGGCAAACGTCGGTGGCAGAAGAGAGACGAGCCTGTTTGGCCGGAGAAGCATCGATTTTGGTGCTTTGTTTGAAACGTTTTAGACACTCAAACGAGTTTGAATCAGATTTGATGGTGCGCTTGCTGCCATTGATCAGCGAAAATGTCTATAAAAATTAGTGATGAAAAATAGAAATAAATGCCATTTAAAATATAATTATCTTTTTTATCTTTGGCTTCGGATCATTGAATTAGGATTTTATCAAGCACGTTTGTGAGGATATTTAAAAATTGAATTTCCTTAGCTGGAAATGAAACCTAACTAAACAAGTATAAAAACGACTTCTAAACCGATAAGGTTTCCATAGAGTTATAATAAGTATACCTTTTCTGAAGATTTTGAATAAATATTAAAACTTTGCAGAGTAGTCGTGCCGGTCATAGAGTACCTTGTCCTATGCATAGAAAGATGAGAGGAAAGTTTATAAAGCCGTCAATTCAGGAAAGATGCAAGTAATTCGCAATGGAACAAAAAGGAAAGAACGGTTATCTGGTGTAAAATGAAGATAAATGTAATTAGGTAAATCAAGGTGTTGATTGAGAAATAATCTGTAGTGGTTCATCCCAGCTTTTTCTCACTGATTAAACTCAAGATACGAATGGCACTAACGAACAATTTTATCTTAAATAATCAATAGCCTGCTAGACTGGTTTAGCCAACGCAGAAAAGACCCTAATTATGGGACGTTGCAGAGGCCCAACGAGGATTCAAAGTTGGTCCATAGCAAAATGGCTTTGCTTATGCGGGGCAGGGGTAGTCTTGAAGACGCTGGAAAAGTTTTCCTGGGACAAAGAAGTTAAGTGAAGGCGGTCCTCCTTACGCGTAGGCCAAACCGACTTACACAATAGCACAATAGGTACAAAGCGGCGTACGCAGACATGACACGTTAAAGGAGGCGCATGGAGAATCGCGAGATTGACATCCATAACAAGCGTTGGCTGAGTGGATGACACGGCACTGACAACGATTTGGAGCTTCGGGTTGCAGTTGAGACGAGCAGTGGACCTACGACATATAATTGGAATGGCGAAGCGATTATTGCGCCCAATGGGAGCGCGCGAGAGCCAGTGGTGTCGAATAGCTTTCCTCGGGCTTAATACTATGCGTGAAGTGAATGTCGGATTCTGATTGGTGCCGGAAGGTTGACTAGTCTTAGAGTGAAAGATCCCAGTTTCACAATCCAATGGTAATCTCGGTACGGCTTGTGAGAGTTGATTGGTTGAAATTCGGATAAGTCGGGATGCTCAAAAGTAGTCTTTGTGCAAGATAAGTCTTAAAAGATATATTCGTATGCAAGTAGGGTTTCGAGACTACCAATACATCTCATTACACTGATTAACTGGTAGTCTCGAAACCCTACTTGCATACGAATATAAGTAACGTTGTCGATTGCTATAGCAAACATACCTTTGCTTCATCGGCACTCCCACCAAAAGAATATGATATAGCAAAGAGGCCTGACCTTCCTTGAAACTCACTTATGCCCTGTGACTCAAGGGTACTCGTGGCACTGTAGCCGAGTGGTTAGCGTGTCAAGCCACCGTCCTGCACTGTCGCGGTTCGAATCCCGCTGAGGGTGTTGATAAGACCGATGCGAGGTAAAAACTGCAGTCCACCCTTGATGATAACAACTTTTGGGAAAGCAAGGCTATGTGAAATTCAATGGAAACGTCAGCTC